AAAGCTTGTACATAAAGAGGTGCGGAGGGCGAGAATATTCGCTCCCCGTACATCAACTAGTAACTATTACACACTAGTTTAGTAAGTTTCAAAATATCACTTGAAAAGTTACGAACATAATATAAGGGATGTGCATCATGAAAATCACTTTCAAGATCTATTAAAAATGCAATGGGTTCAATACATTGAACACTCCAATTGCTCAATCTTGATTTCTCTAATTTATTTTACATGCACTTAAATTTCTCCAAAAAAATTTATCAAACCTTTTTGTGTCATTAGTGCACTCATTGATGCTATAATTACTTTGAGACAATAGATAAGTTTTGTAACTGGTCTTCCTCCTCTATATAAAAAAGCCAGGTTGCTGCAGCCTCGAGAATCAACGTTAGGCACAAATGACATAGTTGGAATGTTCTGTCAGGGCATTTCTGTGCACAGTAAGAGACCAACTTGGTATGCACCTTAATATCTCTGACATTGGAAGTGAACTCTCTACCATGGATGTAATAGGCTCAGTAGGCTTTCCTTTAATTCCAAAGTGTCCATGCCTGACATGGCTCAATATAGAAACGATCATGATAAAAGAAAACTATTAGAAAATAAGAATATTTATTAATTCCACGATAATCGTTCACATAAGGAAATCACATAAGAGAAACAATGAGGGCCTTGTTCTATTCGTGATTGTGAAAAGCTTTTGTGCAAGTTGTGCAACTCATTGAAACTGAGAAAGTAAAACGAAGAAAAGCATTCTTTGTCAAGAACTTACATGCTCCAGAAGGAAAAGTTAAAACTGGTCTGTATGATGGAAACAAACTTATTCCTTTTTTGCCACTGAATATTTTCAAGAACAATGAGCTCTGAAGCAAAAAAAAAAACAGATTTCATTGAAAAGAGGCCATCGATTACATATTGCTGGTGACATGCTAACCACTGATTACCATTACCAAAGAAATTAGAAATTAGTATAGAATGAGTCTAGAGATGTACTTGAAAATCTGGTGACTTTCTAGGCTAAGCTGTACAAGGAAAAAGAAGTGTTGGCCCACTTTATAAGTTCCAACGACCCTTTTGTTATTGCGGATGATGATCTACTTCCAAAAAGCCTTAGCTAGGCCAAAATTAAAACTTTTGGATTCATCTCACATCAAGTAGCACAATTGCTAGCTTTAAGATCTCTATGGATACTCTCAATCTTGAATCGCGGATGTAGATAGAGGAACCCCTCGAGCAATCCCAACAATATATCTAGTTGCTCCTCCATGTGAGTGATCGTACTCGTGGTTTCTAGGACTTGTATGAGTAAAGGGGCCAAGGTTTTTTATTAATTATTAAATGATTCAAGTTATATATTATATATAATATATCCATTAACAAAAGTGATATATATTATATATTATATGTCTCTTCATTTTTATCGCATTGCCGTTACTGCCAACTTGGAGCTATTGATCATGATATTATTAAGTAAAAAATTGAGCAAGAATATCAAGTGATATAGAACAGTTTGGAAAAAACAGTGATATGATACACCCATTGCTTCATAATATTGTAGCAACTTAGCAAGGCAAACTTTGTTGGGTATAACCACCTTTTGGAGTGAGACCCAATTGGTTTATAAAAGAGTTTAATTGGTTTTGGGTTTAAGTATAATATATTTAATATATTATATCTAATTTGTGGAGATCCAATCCAATGATGTACTCAAGTTACGTGTATTTGATTGATACAAATTCAAAATTCAACATATATATAAATATATTGTATTTGTTTTCCGAGGGCAACATATAGTGGACTGCCCTTTTAATCTCAGTTCGGTGCGACTTTATTTTGTTTTGTGGTTGGAAGGCTATGATTTGAGATGTGCCTTTGCCTTGGTTTAACTGTATATCTGGCTCGCATTTTTCAACACGTGCTGGTACATAGACATTTTTATTAGTCTATTAATGATATTTGGCAGCGTGAAAGGGAGTTTTATTTGGATGTTTAATTATTCTTGGATCTTCTAGCAATCTCTGGTATTCTTGATTTTGTGCATCTAATTTAGTGAGATCTTTCCTCTTGTTATTGTGTGTGTAGTCATTTGGAATTCGACCTAAGGGTGGATTTTGTGAGACCATCGTTCCGCTTGTAATCGTTTGAACTTAATTTTGTGATAGTGGAAGTCGGATTTCGAATCCCGCCTCTACCTTACCATTTGAGGGAACCACGTAAAATTCTTGTATTTGCTTTTAGATTTAATTTTTCCCCGCATTTTTTTTATTTCATCTTGATGATTTACTGATGGAAATCATTGATTTTCCCGTGAGATCAACATTTTGATTGACAGCATAATGTTCTTCTTGGTCAGAATAATGAATTCCAAAACAAGGCAAGACCTTCAGTTTCGGTGTTGACAGCTAAACTTCATCCCAAAATGAGAGCGGAACCAATCATGTATCGCCTGTGAGTGATTCGAGAACAATGCAAATACACTTCATTTTTCAATCAATTAAAGTTAAGCACACCTGCGATACATCAACATAAAAATTTTATTCTTGATCATCTGCCGAAATGACATTATAGGAGTTTCTTCTTCTTCTTCTCGTTCTCTCCATATTCCTTTAAGCGTATTTTTCCTTATCAAGAATCTTCATTTGTCCTACAAAAATAGCTAATAGCCAGGCATAGGAAATGGTAACTTTACCATATGCATAAACAGGACACCGCGAGAGACACACACGGATTCTCATTTTATTTGTGCAGCAAAACTGTTAGTTTGCCACTACTAGGGAAATATGAACTTTTTGTGCGTCTAATTTATTATTGTTACTGGCAATTGCTATTAAGTTGATACGGTCGCAAAAAAATCATTTTTAGATCATTTGCTCAAAAACTTTCTCATCATTTTAGACCATTGCTTTCATTCACTTGGTATCAATCATGTCTCTCACTCATAAGTCTTATTTTTACCATCAAAATCGTTAGTAACAAACTTGACTCCTTCCATTCATCCTCCTGTATCGTCGAGATCGCGCCCCATCTTGAGTTTTGTGTCCAATAATCTTGAACTCTCCCCTACTCCCTCCCTCTCCCTCTCCCTCCATCTCAAAAATCTGCCTCTCTCGCTCGAATCTGTCGATCGATTCAACTTTTCAAGTCTACAACTGTTAAGATTCATAATCGGTAAGCCGTAAGCACATCTTCATCGATTCAACTTTCTCTGTAATGATCCGAGAAATCAAGTTGTGTGTACAAAATCAAGTTATGTGTAATGATCGATTCAACTTGCTTATCCACTAATCTCACTGCAATCTTCACTGCAATCTTCTCGATCGATCAGGTTGTGTGTACAGAAAGTGAAGGAATTGGAGATAACTAAGAGCACGATCGTTTCTACTGTACAGTTCAGCTTTTGATTTTCATTTACAGGTGATCATAGCAACCTATATATAAATTCACTATCTAGTTATCTTCATTTTGTGGATCGAATTCTGGAATTATATTTGAACTTACGGTTTTCTCATATTACAGAATTAGATCATTGAAATTATCTTCAACATGCTTTGTTTATGTATTAAAACAAGCTACTGATTATAATGCTCTGTCACGGATAGGGAAAAAAATGTGCATTATATATTGTATGAGTGATGTCTTCCTCTAGTTGATAAGCCTCAACATTTCTATAAGAAAATATAAATATGAGGCAAATAGACATATTGAGGAATATTTGATGTCCTGTAACAATTAGCAATAGTTCATTTTCCTAAAACCTACAATTGCTCAGTTCTTTATTCACAAATACAATTTTTGCTCATGCATTGTTAATGTATTTTTTTTTTAAGTGATCGTGAATATTTGCCAAAACAACAAAATATTATAGACCTGTTTAATAGTAAATGATGGCTCATTTTTGGCTAATCATTGAGTCGGTGGTGTCCTCTTATGACCATGAGATTGAGAGAGAGTGGGGGTGAGAGAAGAGAGGTGAGAGGTACTGAGATCTGGCACCTTCTTATGGTCTAAAAGTAGTTCTATTTCTTGGCCACGAAATGTTTTCCATAATGTAAATTGAATTTCATATTTTGGGTATAAAACCTTAAACACCAACACTGACTAGTTTAGGTTGTGTTTAAATCTCAAAAAAGAAAAGCAAATGAAAATAAATCCATTCCATCTATATGAGCATTTCCTACAATTTTTAATCACAGATGCAAAACCTATATAATATATATATATTATATATCAACAATCCAAAATAGTCTTGTTCAAAAAAAAAAAAAAAAAAAATCCTAAATAGCTCAATTTTTCCATGAAATCATTTGTTTTGCTGGAAAACTCTGTTCTTGAAATTCATACCAAATAAATCCTTAAGCACTTAATACTCTAGATTAAAAATAAAAAAAAAAAAGAAAAGAAAAAACTCAGATCTTCCAATAGAGTTCCACATTACAATTCCAGCCCAGAAATGGAGTTGTGTCCAATTAATCAATATTAAACAGATTCATCAGTGATTACATGGCTATACCAATGCTATGTTGTGCTTCTTCTTCATCCTCTCTCTCTCTTCAGAATCAGTCGAGTCAAGATTATTTCGAGCAGAATTAGTTCTCTGCATGAAAAACTTTCTCACAACAAAATGATAAAATCACAGGCCAGGCGAAATCTCCAAGAACACAGCCTGCAAAATGCATAAATTTAGAAATCAATAAATTATCGAAGACAATTTCAATGCAAATTTAAGTTTGATGTTTCACGGACATTGAAATTTTTGATTAAGCAACGGGGCGATGTGCTTACCAATCCACTGACCAGTGGAAGGGGAAAGTGGGGTTGCACCAATCCCTGCTCCAACAGAAGCAAAAACCAATGCTGCACCACACCTGGCAGTAGTACAAGAAACCTTCCTGCCAAGAACTCGAGTTTTTTCCGCTCTAACAACTTTATCATTCTCTGCTTTAAAAATTTCAGTGAAATACCGGTAAATGTCAACGCCAACTTGGACAAGCCATGACGCTGCAACTCCAAGAAGATGTCCTGCTTAGACATAATAACAGGTTATTAAACAGTGAGACTAAAGCACAACCGACTGAATTGAATGTTGAAAATTGAATATAGAGAGATGTTTGGACCTCTGAAAGTCGTTTTGCTAACACTGAAGAAGTAAACTAAAGTTGGCATCCCCCTTCCGGCCTTGCGTGCAGCTGATCTGGGAACATCTGTAAAGATTCTTCTCTCCAATTTTGGTATTGTAGACCTGGAATGATTCACCTGTTTGATCTCCAATGCTATAAATACTCTCTGTTTGATGTAATTGCTGTAATTAAATACAATGTCACGTCTGCCACTGTTTTTATTTTTATTTTTTTATTTTTGGATTAAATTGTTCAATTTCATGAAAAGAAAAAAAAAATCAACTGCAAGAAGCTTAATATGAAATGCTATAAATGCTATAAATACTCTCTGTTTATCTGTATATTACGAAAGGAACCGTAATATGATTTTTTTTTTTCAAGAAATAAATATGCTAAACTATTGACGTATTGTTCTGTGGCACTTGGAGGCCATTGTTTATCTGTATATATGATATGATTTTACTTTCAATTGTTAATGCTCTGCTTATTGGTGAAATCCATATGATGGAGCAGATGTGTATCGCTTGGTTATCATCCTTCTGAACAGTGGCTGCTCAAAATCATTCTCTCTTTTTATTTTTTTCGACTTTGCTGTTTAGTAGTTGCTGTGTACTCAATCTGTTGGAAACATTTTAATGTTCGTATTACTCTAGAGGGTATAAGAAATTCTTTAATTCGACAAGAGGACAGCATCATATTTAGCCTCCTGGAGAGAGCTCAATATTGTTTCAATGTTGACACATGACCCTAATACTTTCTTCATGGATGGGTTCCACGGCTCGGTTGATTTCATGGTCAAAGAAACTGAAAAGCTTCATGCTCGGGTATGTTATGCCTTAATTTATGAAAGGAGGAAAATAGAATGATTTTATTTCTAGTTTCTGATTTATTTTTTAGTGCATATCAGGTTGGAAGATACAAGAGTCCCGATGAGCATCCTTTCTTCCTAGATGACTTACCAGATCCAATGCTGCCACCTTTGCAGTACCCTCAGGTAAGACAATAGATACAATGGTTTTAGTTAATTTACTCTGAGCCAGAATTATGATTGACATAGCTTGTAAGATAATGTGTAACATGCAAATTTATGAAGTTTGGATTGGAATATGGCAAACTTGGAGGGTGCTTGTTCTGCCTATGTGAACTATTGATATGCTGGCAGTCCAACAAAATCCTGACACTGCTGATATCCTCCTTCACCCCTTATTTATCATTTATTTTTCTTGGGATCCAATAGTAATGTTCTACACAATGGAGGGATGCCCTCCCCATGACCATAAAACTCCCAATGCTGATGACGGTGAGATTTGATCTTAGGTCTTTGGCACAAAATGCCAAAAGATATGAGCTCACCTTCATACCCCTCGTTTTTAAAGATCCCCACGATGAATGTTTGAATAACCATCAATGGTACTCTACTAAGAAATAAG